TCTCAGTTGAGTTTAAAGATCCATACCAAGATATTATATGAGTTCAATTAGCTGGGCTAGAGGGTATAACTACCTAGACTAAAGATAATTTATGGATTTAATTACCTGGACCAAAGGTAATTTACGGGTTTAATTACCTGCACACTGCATACGAGGTGTATGCATAGGTACCTTACCTATTGTTAAGGTATGAAGTTTTTATGAACTCTTATTACAAATTTTGATGTCGGTATACATTGGGAAAATTTCAGAATTCAATAAATATATTTGCAATTAAATTCAAATCAAATATGATAATTAATATCCTATAAATCAATAACTTACCAATTTTAGGAATTCATAATTTACCTTATTTATGTTTTAGGTGCATAACTGGAACAAAAAATAAAAAATAAAAAAAAGTAAATGTCAATAAATTGAAATAGGCATGTAATCTTATGTGGCGCAAAAGTCAAAGGACTTGGATCAACAACAATTTCTACGTGGATTGCACCCAAAGTCTCTCCTCATAATTGGACTTATGCCAAATTTTCTATTTAAAATACTTATAGTTTGCCTCATGCTTATCGAGAAACAAATCATGCAAAATATGAACATGCTTGTACGAATCATTGTATTTGGATATGTCATTTTCCTGAAGTTTTTTTTATACATAAATTACACTTTGATATGTATGGTGGGATCTTATTTGTAAGGTTTTTGTTTGTTAAAATCGTTCATGTGTTCCTTCAAATTCAGTTTCGTTAGGACAAATAGTCCTGCCATCAATTTTGTTATCTTTTATGTTAAATGGTATTTTTGTATTAAATTGATTCAAAGATGAATAAAATATTAAAAAACTAAAGGTGTCGAGCTCGACGACGATGAGGAGGTTGTTGGGATTCCCATCGGAGGCGGCATTAGTTAAATCGAGGTATTGACCGTTGCTGCCTTGAGGGAGGGTGAGATTCGATGCAATGAGTAAGGTCAGGCCCTCTTCGGGGACGGTGGAGTTGTTGACATGAAAGATGTTAACAACGAACGATGTAGTAAAAGACACCACCTGTCCCAGGGCTTCGATTATGGCGGAGCTAGGAGAATCAGTCCAGAGCGTGAAAGACTGGTTGAAGAAGACTCTACCTGAGTGGTTGGCAAGGGTGAAGTTGCCGGCTAAGTATGGCGTGATCTGGAGCGTCTCACTGCTGATCGTCGCCGGCTTGATCACCGCAAACGTGTTATAATACGATTGGTCGAAGGGGCCCCATTTGTAATGAGATGTCTCGAGGATTTGAGCATCGAAGAAAGTTGCTGCGGGAAAAAGCAGAAGCACCATGTGGAAGTGATTATGACTAGCTGCTTCAGCTTCATGTGGTAGTTGCTACTTATAGAGCTAGACGACGTCGTTGCACAGTTCAAAAAATGATGAGATGGTCGAGGGAGAGCTGGTGAATGACCAGCTTAGTTCTCTGTGCTTGTCATTTGTTTATTTTTATTGGATCGAGGACGATGAGATTGAGATGGGGGGTTGGGGACAAAAAAAAAAATCTTTGTTTTTTGGTGTTGGTTTTTTATTTGATTTTCTTTTATTGTTATTTTAAATATATAATTTTTTATTCATTTTTTTAGTTTTAATACAAAAATACTATTTTGTCCCTGCATTTAACATAAAAAGTTAACAAAATTGACGGCATGACCATTTGTCCTAACGAAATTGAAGTTGAAGGACCATGGGAATGATTTGGAAATTGAATGAACAAAATGCGAATCGGGTCAAAGTTCAGGGACTAATAGACCTAATAACCTTATATTTTAATATAGGATAGGTTTAGTGCCTATGATCAGAAATGAGGCATATGTTTGTTAGCCCTAATGACTAAGAAAGCGTGCTCACCCCACTACACCTTATGCTCCGTTTGGATGAAGAAATTGCAAATTACATAGAATTCTAAAATGACAGAATTTAGATTTCTGGCAATTGAAGATTTCAGTGTTTAGATTTATGTACGTCGAATTTTGTAAATGACAGAAATTGAAAATTTCAATGTTTGGATAGCTCGTGTACATTTCAATGTTTGGATAGCTCATCCCAATCATGTGAAGGCTCTTTAACACGAAAATTATCATAATACCATTGTAACGTAACCAGAAAAGAGATCATTGTACAAACAATAATTGTGAAATGAATTTTGGCGCAGTTTTTTTTAATGTAAGTTTTGACGCACTAGAAAATATGAATTCCCGCACTATGAAAATTGTGAAATGACGCATATTTTGGTGGAAATTAAACTCGGGAATTGGATTTCTCAAGTTCCACGATTTTTTCCGCTCATCATAATAAATTCCGCGCTTAAGTTGCCAAACAAAGGAATTGTCAATTTCTCCTCTTAAATTCCCGACTTTTAGCTAAATTCCGAGTTAGAGCATCCACAATGATGCTCTCTATTTCTTAGCTAAAATTTAGCTACAAATATAAGAAAGCTATTTTAGGAGCTCTCTAAAAAATTTCAACTCCAACCATACTCCATAATTTGGAGAGTCTAAAAAATTTCAACTCCAACCATACTCCATAATTTGGAGAGTCATAAATGCTATAACTCTTTTTTGATTGGTTCATCTCTATCAAAAAATAAAATAAAAAATAGTTAGCATTAAATAAAGGTTTGAAATACTCATTAAATAAGGCAGCATTAAATTATAGGAAGCCACTATGAATCCTTTCTCTCTCCTCATATTTAGGAGCTCCTAGAGGACTCCCTATTTTAGGAGGTGGATAGGGAGCATGGTTGGAGTTACATTTTTACAATGCCTCTCTAAAATTTGTCTAAGGAGGTGATTTAGGGAGCCCATTGTAGATGCTCTTATATTCCCTCATCCAAACGGAGGGTTAGTTCAAATTCCAAATTCATAGAATCAAGTAATTTAGAGCGTCGATTTTACAAAACAAAATTTAGAATATCCATATAGCATTAAATAAAATTATATGCTATAAATTGAGATTTAGTTGATTATAAAATTTAATAGTTCTAAACAATGCCCCTAATTACTATGGATCAAGTATGGGCTAGGGTTCTTAAATTTGTATAGATCAAGTATTCAAATTGTTTGGCTTGATTTTGTAGAGATAAAGTATGGGGTAGGGCTCTTAAGTTTGAATTCGTTGAGTTACAACTTAGAAGTGTGTTTGTCCAATTGAAACCGACTCGATGATACATTATACTTTTTATTACATCTGAAGTTCCACATTTTTGAGTTTGACTAACATTGAATCGATGATAAAGCACCCGAAGAAATGGTGCCATTTACATTCATGTTCATGTAACTTATAATTCACAAAAATTGTATATAACAAACCAATTGTGCTCTTCTTCCCTTTTTTGGTCGGCAACAAATCAATTGTGCTCTTCTATGAGGCCAGCTCAGCTCCTCAGTGCTGTTTGTCCAGCCCGCCGAAACTTGCATGAATCTGGACCGTACACGTGAACCGACCCTAGCCCAGGTATTGTCGCCCGGCCCGACCCGAGACTAGCACTAACGTACTGTGTAAATGCTCCGGAAGCCAACCCCTCACTCCACGGCTTGTGTGTGCGTAGAAAAAAACACCAAATAAAATAGTCTTCCATAGCTTCCATCTTCGTCCCATTTCCATTATTGTTCATCACCCAAAGAGACGATTATAACCTGAGGGGATGAAATGGGCGATACCAGTGAGGCAGAGAGTGTCACTGAGCTTGAAGCTATGTGCAAGGAAGACTCGTCTTGGCATCCATGTCAAGTCTCTCTCAGGTGAGCCATCTAACTGAACCAACCCACTTAAAATGGTTTCCAGACTGTGATCCTGTTGTTTATTGGAAAATGCAGTGATGGGTTTTGCCCAGTAGTTTTAGTGAGCTGGGTTTTGTTCATGTTTTAG